CTAGAGAGAGTATTATTAAGTTTCTGAGACAAATTTAGAAGAAGTGTAAGGGTGGCAAGACCCACTGGGCTCAAAAATAAAACTTTCTCATCCTCAGACTCTCCCAGCAAAAGACTCACAGGACTCTTCAGGTCTAAGATCAACCCATGTTAGAACCTGAAGATAAAGATCTTAAGGGCATGGCTGTGCACCCCCTATGAAGACCTGAGAATGAGCTGGGTACCTAGTGGGGCATCTAAAGTCTTCAAACCATGCTTTGTAGACTCTCCCGGTTACAGATGAAGGTTTTTCTATTTGTAAGTAGTATCGCACAAGGCCTCATGGGCAGCCCCTAGTAGAGAATGATCTATGCCAGAAAGAGACACAGGTGTGGTTTTTATCTAAGCATTGATTATAACTGTCTGTAAAAGGCCCCACGAAGTTCTTAAAGGAATGGTACCAGCTCGGACTGGAAAAGACATGAAAATAAACGAGGTCTTTGGACCCCCAGCCTTCCACAGAAGGAACCAAGTTGAGAGCACTGAGGAAGCGACTCAGAGGTCCACTTGGGCCACTGCTTATGGAAAGTGGAGGATAACTCAGACCTGGAGCCCAGAGGGAACAAAACTGAGTCCTAATTAAGTGTGCTCTGACCCTGAAGCAGGGAGAACTGGTGGGTAGCAGGATTTCTGTAGACCAGTGACTCCCAGTGCCTCTGACTCCCGCTCTTTGATCGGGAATGTCTACTGCAGCCTCTTCCTCCATCATCACTTTATAATTGGGGGAGGGGGTTGGAGTGGCCCAGAGATAGCTTGTCTCTCCAGTTCACAGGTCTTCTATTGAAGAGAACTGTCCCCTATGCTATCCACCCATGGGATCAAACCCAAGGAGCCTCCTCTGCTCCTACACCTAATTCAGAGGACACATTACTGGCTTCTGAGCCAACGTGACAAACAGATGAGACTTGAAATTGTTTCTACTCAGTAGTAGAACACATTCAACAGGCAGAACTGACTCTCCTCCAGTCCTCTGGGTCTGAAGAGACAACCAGCCACCAGACGGTCAACCTCAAGCCCCACAGGGCCCGCCGAGAGACAGGGAGGAAGCAGGGGTGGACTGTGTCTTATCCAAACAGAAGCCCAGCCTGAAGGCAGCTCAGTCTCTAACTGGACTGAATGATCGTCCTCAGTCCTGGCAATGGGTAAACGCTCTAGACTTCTGCAGTTATCTTTATACACAACATCTAGCATATAACATAAATTGATCAGATATGGGAAGAGGCAAGATCATATAAGAGGAAACCAAGAGAAGCGAAGTTCCTGAGAGTTTTTTGTGTGTGTGTGGAAAGGCCTATGTCTTCAGACAAGGCTATCTGGGAGTTCAAAGTTCTCCCCTTGTCTGTGTCTGCCAAATACTCCCAAGCCTCAGAGACCCACACCGGCCCACCGGTGCCCTTACCTGAGCATAAGAGACCACTGGGTTATGTACATAAATGGCTGTACAATTCTGCAACCCAGACAATCAGGCCTTGGGCCTGGTCACCAGCCATGCCTGCATCTATAAAAGATAAAAGATTCCTTTCAGGCCACCAAAGAGGCTTTGTTTATTCCCCACACATTCCATCCCGCAAACCCAGGGGCTGCGTTGATTTTCCAGCAAAGATGGCACAGCGAACACAGCAGTCGTGACAGCCATTACTGCCTGCTGAAGTCTCTGATGATCTTCATGATTCTTCAAGTCTCACTTGGGGATGGAATGTTTGTGATCTCCTACCACAGCTAAGCCCTGGCTGATCCCTCAGGAAGGTACGTAGCCCAGGAGATGGAGTCCAGGGAGGCCGGCCCCCAGGGGCACAGATAGAGAAGAGGAGGAAGGAAATGAGTCAGAGAATAAGAAACACAGTCCATGTATCTCTTCTCAGAAGTGACTACAGAAGGTGCTCCCCTAGATGAGAGGGGTAACAAGGAAGAGGAAGACCGGGTCAGGAAAGAGGGGAATCAGTACGGGAAAGACACCAGGGGAGTGGCCGGAATGATGATGGAAAGAAGTCCTGAGATACCAGTTGGCAAGAATCTTAGCAGCAAGTTAATTCTAGAGTGAAAAGACCAAATTTGGGGGAAAGAATTACTCAGAGATTACCCAAATCATCAGAATATGCCGCAAGGAGTTTCTGAGTTTTGATAGAAAGTTGAGGATGAAGGAGTGACAGGCATGGAGAAAACTGAGTAAATAAAAATTTTAGGTAACTATTAATTATAGGAAAGACAAAAAAAGTACAAGACAGGAAAGGCAATCCTAGGAGTCCACCCAGATCACCTCAGAACAGTCTCTACATAGTCCCAGGGAAGACTTTCTTTCTAACCTATGAACTTGGACCACAAGTAGCTCTTTCACAAAATCATTTTTTTCACTCTGCTTTGGAGCTGCCGAATCACCGGGAAGTCACATTACAGATGACAGAGGAGCACGAGTGGTCCACGGACCACATTCTGAGAAGCAACGCTTCACAGTTTAGCATTCTGTGCCAGGTACAACACCCCGGCCTTTCTTCTCCTCCACAGGGAGTTCCACTCTTGGTCTAAAGTTTATCTCTGTATCATACGTGCTTAGAAACTTACATGGACAAGACTTTCAATTAATGAAGTCCAAGAATGAATTTACTTAGAGAAAATACAAACTCTCTCCATGTTTTTAGTAGAAGGCAGGATGCAACGTTTCCCTTTTAGTTTGAAAATTCTTACTGTGATTAAAAAAGTAGTAATAATAAAATAAAGTTAGCAGAACTCCTTGGCCATTTTACTAGGACAGAAAATCGTACAATGTAAAATGAAGGGGAGTAAGAATAAAATATTTAAAAAATTAACTTACTCGTATGAACTCCATCAGTGTATTATAAATGAAGGCTCCTTTGGGAAGAAAGAAACAGCTTCCAGGACTTAGATCGTGGAAAAAGAAAAGTTCTTGTTCCTAGAATAAAACAAATTGCATTTCAAGTTTCATGGTCATTGCTTAATATTTACTGTACATGTGTGACACCCTAGGTCGAGTCACGCATTCAGCTGTTCCCAGCTGTAACGGCTGACATTCCAAAGTCCCTCAATACTTGACTCTATATGTAACAGCAGGTGTCAAATAATGACTTGTACTTCTGGTCACGAAGCTTTGAACTGAGCTTCTATTTTAAATTTACTGCTCATTCTTACTTGGCACCTTGGAGTACAGATCCCATGGGGAGATAATATGACAAAAAGGTCAGAAAGTCCCCTGCTGGAGGTGGGCTCTAGTGACGGTGATCATCACTGCGGCTGTCACACTGACAGCCTGCCCAGGCCGGCCACCCCATCCACGGTCTGTCCTTGAGTCACTTGGCAAGAGTCAAGGACAGGGAGTCCACAAGTGAGTGCCTGGCTGTTGAGCAACACTGCTCCCAGGTGGCAGGCTAAGGGTTAAACCCAGGTCTCCCTGCTTTCAAATCTGTTTCCCAAAGACAGAGTATATTATCAAGTATGCACAATGAAAGAAAAAAACATTTTTATACTGTGATTAAAAATGAGAGAAAGGTGCAATTTTTAAAATCTAATAAAAAATACAAGAAGTAAAGAGTCTAGAAGATATTTGGGGTTTTAGCAAGAAAGGACCCAATAGCAGACTATGGGTACCATCAAAACAGAGGCAAGAGAAGAGACAAAGAGGTGTTAGTTTTAAGACAATTTAGTCTGAGAGGGAGGCTATAGCTCAGTGGTACAGCGCATGCTTAGCATGCATGAGGTCCTGGATTCAATTCCCAGTACCTCCACTGAAAAAAAAAAAAAAAAAGAACGAAAGAAAGACACAGTTTAGGCTGAGATGCAATCATGAACCAGCTCAGCAGTGCCCAGTGCATGAAGCCCACCTTCCCAATCTTCCTGTGATCTCGGTTCCTGGCTTCCTCCTGGAGCGTTTCCCAGGCTGTCATCATCTTGTTATCCGGAAAGGATATCCCATAGACCCTCTGCAGCGCTTCCATTGCAGGATTGCCCTCCCAATACGTGGAGGAATGCTAAACATCAAACAAGGTTTGGCGAAACATATCAAACACTTGGTCACAAATAAAACTGCTCAGAAATGTGCACAGGTGGCCCTCTGTACCCGTGGCTCTGGAACCCATGGATGGAAGTCGCAGATGCAGGGTCCAGCTGACCCATGCCACTTCATCTGAGGGGCCTGAGTTGCCCTGGATCTTGGTCCCAGCAGGGTGTCCTGGAACCAACATCCCTCAATGGATGACTGCGCACAATTTTCCACCATAACATCAACAGGGCTTACTTAAAGATGATTTTTTTGTAGCATGAGAAAGATTCTTTTAAACTCATCCTAACTAACTCTTCCCAGCCCAAGTTCTACCAGTAATTGGGAAATTATGTAGACAGTCTGTGGAGTCTAGGAATGAAAAACGAGAAGGAGAGAGAGGGGATGAGGGAAGACTAAACACCAGGTGCGTCACTGAGGAGAGAGTACAGGGACGTGAAGTTGGCCTTGAGACCCACGGTGGCAGTCAAGCACAGTGTTGTCATCAACTCTCATCCACCTGGGAGATGGATGCCACCAAGACCCAGGAAGGGCAGGACTGCAAAGTCAGTCCCCTGCCCCCTGACTCCCAGAACACGCCTTCTGCATTGCACCACGGATCCCTCTGTCTTCCTCCTCTTCCCACAGGACGTTACCCTCACACGCAGATAAATGCTCTTGTTCACAACAGGGCAATTCAGGAAAACAGTATGCAGAACAATATCTCAAAATATATGAAAAAGAAATGTACTGTAAGGAAGCCAAACCTAGAACCAGACATTAAGTGACAGAAAAGTGTAGAGTTGGCCGCTTTGAGGTTTGTTTGGTCAAAAGTGAATGAGTTTTTGAGAACTTTGGAATTTACGTCATAGTTCTCAGCCTCGTTATTTTTACACATGAAATGGGAATGTTAACAGGGGAGCTTATTTAGAAGAACTAGAAAAAAAGTAATAAAATAGGTGTTTATATTCTTTAGACCAATTGTCCTCAGAATCTTTGAGACTGTCACATTTTTATCCTTTTCTAGTTGATTTTACGTAAACTATTGTGCCTTGTAAAATTTCACTTGGTATAAATTTTATTTTGAAGGTTAAAGCGATATACAAAGGGTAAAAAAGGAAATACGCTGTTACACAGTAAGGTTAAGTGGTAAATAATTAAAGGCTACATATCATGTTCTAATTACCAAATTCTAAGAATTGTATTATTTTTAAGAAGCCCATATGAAAATCAAACAAGACTGAAGTGTTTTTAAATGGCACGGTGCTCAGATAATAAAAGATATTATCTAACTACTGTCTTATCAAGTTCACCTTAAATTTGCTATATATTAAGGAAAAAAACCAATCCTTACCTTGAAAATTTTTATGGCTTTAATTTTTCCCGTGTGTCTTACGTGGGGGCCTTTACAAAGGTCAATTAGTGGACCGCACCTGTAACGAAATATTTAAAACATGCCAGGCAGAGTTACTGCTTTTTTGGACTATTCATTATAAACTATGTTCTCCTATGTTTTAAGTAAAGGATTTTACTTATTTGTATATTTAGGGGCAATTTTTAATTTAGAGGCAATTTAAATTGATTTTGAATTTACGATGCAGGGGAGAGGCGATTCATTTAGTCTCAGAGCCCAGTCTTCCCTCCTTCGCTCAAATTCAAAAGCTGCAGAATCTTTGGAACGAAACAGTGCAGAGACACCACTTTTCATTCTCACATCATAAGGCTCTTAAAAACCTTCACTGTCATAAAATCAAAAAGCCACTTCCCCACTGTAATTTTCAAAACGAAAATTATATGAGATTTATACAAAGTGCATTAACTCAATACTTTATGTTAACAATAAACTTCACCAAACCCACAGAACAGACAACACCAAAATGGAACCATAATGTAAACACTGGACTCTGGTGACTACCATGTGTCAGTGTAGATGGATTGTAATTCGTGTCCCACCCGGGTGGGGAATGTTGATCGTGCATCTGTTGGGGGAAGGGGGTATGGGAACGCCCTGTCCCTTCCCCTAAATTCTGCTGTGAACCTAAAACCACTCTAACAAAAATGAAGTCTATTTAAAAAATTAATAAATGTCAAGGGGTTTTTGTTTTTTGTTTTTAGACCCACTGGTTTCACAACAAAATGCCTAACTGTCTCTTGGTTTGTTAAAACTTTAAAACAGCACACCAACTTGCAGTGCAAATCTCAGGCAAGAGTTTAGGCCAGAGAGGACACCACTATTAAAACTCGTGGACTCACTCGCATCTATAGTGAACTGGGAACCACCAAACCTTAATAACCGCAGACTTTTCTCCTGGTACAGAAACATCAACAGAGTTAAAATACTAATAATGCAGGTCGGGGGAAGGCGACTGAACACCAATCAACTTAAGAAAAATTGAGTTAAAAAAAAAAAAGTAAGTTGTTCCTTAACTATTCCAACCAATTTAAAGTATTTTTTAAAATTCACTGGTTAAAAAGTTAAAAATTAAAATAAACACCTAAAGAAATTGGCCTGTTTGCCAAAGCAGCATGAGGCTTTAAACATGAAAATGTCATTTCTTTGAATGACCAGGCTTTATGCACTGCTCTCTGTCCAAGATGGAGGTCTTAAGGCAACACTTATAGAAATGGAAAAAAATGCCTGATTAGCATGAAAGACTTTAATAATCTAATCTTTAAATAATCCCACAGAAATGTATTTAGCCATTCCAGTTGATAGAATACGCATCAATGCTGACCTAAGTTAAAAAAAAAACAAACCCAAAAGGTCAAGTGTTAGCAGCCAGAAATGGAAAACTTAGCATCTTTTCAATTTCTTTATTTATTTTTAAACTTCAAAATGGTTATACTAACATTCATTTGTATCATAGGTATATAATGAAATCTTACCAGGTCATTGGAGAGCAGTAAAAATAAAACAGGCAGTGTTCCCCTCAGTGTAAGATGGCAAAGAGTTCATATTATCAATTTAAGAAGTGCACAGGGCACAGCTTTGCACAAAGCAGATGTGATTTTGCGTACGGTGCAGTAAGTCAGAGAACTGTAAGTACTTAACTGTGGGAAGTAAGTGCCCAGGTGGAGGACGTCTGTAACCAAGTGGGCAGAGACCAGGTCTTCCCCAGTGGGACCATGGAGGTCCAGCGGGGCCAGGGAGCTGAGCTGGGACACACGGGAGTGGGTCGGAGCCACCACCCATGACGCAGCTGGGAAAGCAGACGAATAAAAAGAGCTTCGGGCGGGAGCCCAAAGTCTAACACAACCAAGCAGTTTTGCTGCAGCTTTCACTTGCCTCTTCTCATTACCTGACTTCGCCTCTGCTTCCCACCTTCACAGTGAATCCTGCTAACACGTGAAGGCTGATGCTTCTGGACTCCGGGCAGTGGGAACATCATGGGAGGCAGAGTCACGGCCAGGGGAGATGGCTCATAACAGTTCCCATCGCCCCTTAATGAGAATATGGGAGGATGAAACAAATTCCTTCCCCTAAGAGTCCCTCAAAATGTCAGGCCCTGGGCGAATGCAGTCTCACCCACATGGACAAGGACGGTGTTGAAACCAATGTTCAGAAAACAGAATTTGGGTTTTTAGTACCATCCTATAAATACAAGTGAGAAAATAATAATTTCCCTCTGGTGATAACATTTCGGAGTCCCCATCTAAAGTCATATCAACTAAGCAAATGTACACACAGACCACCCCCACCAAGACAAACTGCTTCTACCGCTACTGCCTTCAAATTCGCCACTGAGCAGTGCTTGAAATTCACACGCTTTACCTGTAAACTGTGGTTGTCGGAGTGTTAACCTTCTCATTCAGGATGCGGCATTTAAATTTATTGTACTACAAAGAAAAACATATTAAATATTATCACATAAAATGTTTAAGTGGGGAAAAAAATGTTCACTTCTTTTAACAGACATTGAATGGGTGTTGACTAAGTTCTTGATGCTGAGGCCGTGGGGCAACAGAGAGCTCACAGCCCAGGGTTTGCTGTCCAGGATGGGAACCAAGAGGCCACTGAGCACTCGAAACGCAGCTAATCTGCAAAACGCACTGGATTTCACAGGCATAATGTGAAAAAAAGAATATAAATAGCTCATTAATTATTTCCTATGTTGGTTTCATGTTGCAGTAATATTTTTGATTCACTGGGTTAAATAAAATGGTACAAAAATTAATTTCAGCTTTCTTTTACTTTCAAAAAGTGGCTACCAGAAAATTTAAGATTACATACACAGCTCAGATTTGTGGACTGCATTACTGGACAGCACTGTTCTTGAAGATTCCAATTTTAATGACATAAATAAAACTCCGAGGACATAGCTATACTATGGATCTGTGTACAAAGTAAAACAAAACTTAGAGTAAATGATATCATTACATTAAAAAACTTAGCTGGCACTTTTTCTTTCTTCTCTGCCTTTATCACTACAACTATGGTGCCAGACACTGTATACTAAATAACTACCTAAAAGAGGTAGTTTTGTTGGAGGAAAAAAAATAGATTTGTGTGATTTAACTGTTTCATACATATAGGTTAAAAACAAGTCATTTTTCTTCACAAGGTTTGATCGAGTTTAGTTCTCAACCCACAGAATGGGCGAAAACAATTGCAAATCAGGTGTCTGATATGAGATTAATAGCCAGACTATATCAAGAACTCCTACAACATCAAAAAACAAAAAACTCAACACAAAAAAAGGTGAAAGATTTGACTAGACATCTCTCCAAAGAAGATAAACAAAGGCCAACAAGTACACGAACCAACAAATGATGCCAACAAGCATCATCAGCCATTAGAGCAACGCAAAGAAAAACTACAATGAGATGCCACCTCACACCCAGGAGGATGGTTAGTATTTAAAAAACAGTAAGTCAGGTTGGCAAGAATGTGGAGAAATTGGAACCCTGTGTGCCGCTGGTGGGAATGTAAAATGGTGCAGCCATGGTGGCAAAAAGTATGACAGTCATTTGAAAAATGAAATAGAATTTCTGTATAATTCAGTAATTCCACATCTGAGTTCTTCTCAAAAGAACTGAAAGCAGGGTCTGGAACAGATATTCGTACACCTGTGTTCATAGCAACATTTTTCTCACTAGTCAAAGGATGTCCATGGACAATGAATGAATAAACAAAACATGGGCTATCCTACAATGGAATATTATTCAGTCTCAAACAAGGAAGGAAATTCTGACATAGGCTACCACATGGATGAATCTTGAGGACATTGTTGAGTGAAAATAGGCCAGTCACAAAAGGACAATTATTGGATGATTCCACTCATATGAGGTTCTAAGAGTAGTCAAATCTAGAGACAGAAAGAGAGGACGGAGAGCGGTGAGTTCATGTTTAATGGGTACAGCATTTCTCCTGAGGAAGATGAAATAGCTTGGAGACAGATGCTGGTGATGGCTGCACAAGATGTGGATACACCTAATGCCACAGAACTGCCTACTTAAAAAATGATTAAAGTGGTAAATTTTATATTTTGGATATTTCACCACACACACAAAAAGAGCAGTTGCAACTTTTACCAAACCCTAATGAACTTTTTAATTCAAGCTCACCGGACTAACAATGCTGTGCTTTCAAGTTTTGTGCTTTCTCTGATATTTGTGATCTTAAAAATAAAATTAAGAATATATTTAAAGCAGCACTATATACAACAGCCGAACATGGAAGCAACCTAAATGTCCATTGACAGATGACTGGATAAAGAAGCTGTGGTGTATGTATACAATGCAATACTACTCAGCCATAAAAAGAATAAAATAATGCCATTTGCAACAACATGGATGGACCTAGAGATCGTTATACTAAGTGAAGCCAGAAAGAGAAAGAAAAATATCGTATATCTCTTATATGTGGAATCTAGAAAAAACTGACACAAATGATCTTATCTACAAAACAGAAACAGACTCACAGACATAGAAAACAAACTTATGATCACCAGGGGATAAAGGGCGTGGGAAGGGAAAAACTGGGAGTTCAAGATTTGCAGACAGTAACTACTATATATAAAATAAACAACAAGTTTCTACTGTAGAGCACAGGGAACTATATTCAATATCTTATATAACCTATAATGAAAAAGAATATGGAAAGGAATATATGTATGTTCATGTATGACTGAAACATTATGCTGTACACCAGAAACTGAGACAACATTGTAAATGGACTATACTTCAATAAAAAAGAAAGCAAATTAAAAACAAATGTATATATATGTTACACATATATATATATATTTTTTTCTTCCTGGCTAGAGGTTTTTTTTTTTAACTGTAAAGAGTTTCCTGAAATCACCTTAAACATGTCCAAGAGGACGTCCTTGCTGACCTCCAATCTTTCGAAAGGCTGCTTCTCCTGTATGATGGCCTTACACAAGTTCTCCAGCGCTGACAGCTCTTCACTTGACACTGCTCTGCAGAGAAAAGCCCAGAGGAATCAACACAGATTTTCCAGACATCGTGCCTGTTCCTTTTTGTGGAACTTTGTTGCCCTGTGGCCTTCGTCACTAGTGACTTGCTTCCTACATCAAGGCATGAGGTCCTTTACTGAACCAGGATTTCAGAAACTCACATGTCCGTTCACCAGGCAGATAATCCTACTTCTCAAAGCAGGAGATGGAGGCACCAGCATATGAGGTACCTGCCCTGGGTTCTTAGAACACCCCACGCAGGACTATAAGCAGCTTCGAGGCCTGATCTTCCCGCCGGCCGTCCTCATCCTTCACACACTTCTGTTTTTGTTCTAAGGAGTGTGTGAGGTGCTTGCCGCACCCCTGCCCTTGCTGGCTGGGAAGCAGGTTGGGAGGAAAACCTGGGACGTGAACTGCAGGGTGCCTGGGCTGACTTCTCTCGGGGACTCCTGGTTGGTGCCCTCTCCCCTCTGGCCATGTGGCCTCCCTGCCACTCCTCAAACAGGCTATACAGATCCCTACACCAGGCTGTCTCAGAGGCCTAGAATGTTCTTCCCCCAAATGTCCACAAACACCGACCCCTGAACAGCCCCAGGGTGGGCTCCCTCCATCCAGTCCCTGTTGACTGTAGCTGCCACCGTGCTCAGGCTGACCACCTGCCTGCACTGGCAGATACCTCCCCACGCCAGGTTACTGTCCTTCATCACGCTCATCACTCCTGACTGTCTGTCTTCCCCCAACCAGACCACTAACTCCACGAGGACTAGCTGGTCTATTCTCGGTGGAATCACCAGCACCAAGCACGGAGCTCATGCGAGGCCATCAGCAAACCCTGCTGAACGGGTCCTGGGTGGTGGCAACAAGCGGAACCTGCTGCCCCCGGATGCTCGGTGAGGGGCATCTCCTAAGCAGTATGGGGGCAACAGACAAAAGGAAGATGTACCACCATCGTCCAGGCCAGAGGTGCTATGGGTCCGAATTAGGGCAGAAGCAGAGAGGAGAAGATGGGGATAGGATAACTAATTAGGAGACAAAACTGGCAAGATTGCTGTGAGAGACTAGGTGGCAGGTGGTGGCGAGGGGCCGGGGTGATGGAAGAGTCCTCAGGCTTCAATTCTGACTGCTGGCAGCATCCTTAGGGGCCATGAGGAAGACGGAGGCACACATGGTTGGGACTGGGGATCTTGCTAAGATTTCAAGCACAGATCCCTGACTGTGAGCCACCTCTCTGGTATCCACCTGGGTGCAATGCCCCGCCGAGGTGGACGGCGCCCGTTAGATACCAGGGAGCAGAACTGAGTGAGTGCTCTCTGGGGATCAGCCTTACAATTCCGGTCTTAATTAGGTCTATGCCCTGGCAACTCCTCAATTAGATTAATCACTCCCTTCTGAAAAGAAAGAAAACAATCTGAGAAATTATCCTTGAACCTAAACTCATTAAAAAAATAATTTTCAAAAAATGCTTACCCAGTCTATAACCACATGATGTAATATATTCACTCACTGGACGAAGACGTAACCATTGTAAAACAGTGAGCTAGAGGAGACGTGAGTCTGCAGAGGTGTTACCTGTCTTCCAGGAACATGTCATAGTAAAATCCAGCTTCAATGGGTGGCCCGTAGCACAAGTGGCCTCCGTAGTAGAGTTCCATGGCTTCCCCGAGAACATGGGCACTGGAGTGCCAGTACACCTGGGGGCAGGACAGAGGCCATGCTGTCAACAATATGTCACAGGGAGGGGAGGGCAGAGCTCAGTGGCAGAGTGCATACTTAGCATGCACGAGGTCCTGGGTTCAATCCGCAGTACCTCTATTAAATAAATAAACAAATAATAAACACAATCACCTCCCCTCACCCCCCCAAAAAATAACATGTCACAGGAAATTATCAGGCACGTAACACGTGGAAGCAAGGGTAACACAAGGAAGGGGCTAGACACCAGGACACAAGGCAACATCAATTTGAACAGAACAACTGTGATGACAAGGGTAAGTTTCCTGAGCCTCTGTGGAATTCCAGCAGGGCCCTTGGCTTGGTCCCAGGGCCCAAGTGCTGCTCTGAGTCACAGCTGAAGCACAGCCCCCAAGTCATTTCCTTCCATGCATTTTACTGTGAAAGCCTCAACCATCCACTGGCTCGGAACACTGAGCAGAGCAGCCGCGTGAAGCCGGGTTCAGACCCACAGCCAAGGATGACCCAGGAAGTGACGGACACTGGCGCCCTTCCTTCTGCCCCAGGCAGCCTCTCCGAGTCAGATGCGGAGGGCTTGGTGGCTATTCCTGATACCGCTAATGTGAACAAGATTTTGCATCCACACAGCAGTCTCCATGCATAGACCAGCACGTGGCTATGGGAGTTTGAAAGATGACTCAGGAAGACCAAGGTGTCCCATGGAAGGCCTGCTGGCTGCCTCGTCCCCTGGGTAGGGTCCACATGAGTTCATTTACCACAGTCCAAGGGCCCGTCACTAGCTCTACAAGTTCAGAAAATTGACTTGGTTTTGAATTACCAAGGAATCTATGGTTTAGGGATAAATTAAAACTAACCAGTCACTGAAAGTGCTTGCACTTTCTTTCCCTTAAATAGGAAACAAGTGACAGTTAGGAAGCTATCTGAGATAATACATTGGAGGAGAGGGATTAGCTGGCTGAGCAGACCAGGTGCAGCCTGGATCCAGGGCATCAGGCTGGGATATGATCTGCAAACACCCCAGAGGGACAGATCAGTCCTAGGGCAGGGCCCCTCTGCTCTGGAGGGTGCCAGGCAGCAGGCAAACTGCCAGCATTGGCCCTAGCATTTTCTTTGGTGCATGGTCTTCAGTATGTGGCTTTGTACATAATTTACGACACAAATACCCCAAGTTCGGTTGGTTGGTTGGTTTCTAAGTACTTACAGCTTGGGCTTCCTCATTATTAAACAGAAGCAGCTCTAGAGTGGAGTCCCCTTCCAATGGGCGGTCCAAGTCCCATAATTCACCATTGACTTTGGCTACTACTGTGTCTTCAGCCAGCTCCTGACTAGTGAGAGAAAAGTCATTTGGGGTTAACTTATCACCAGCTACAAAGATTCACTAAAACAAAAGATGAAAATAATCTCCCGGGCACGTTTCTTCTTTACATGGATAGAAAGTACAAACACAAACTAATAGGACAGAGTTTTTTTTAAATTCTGTAACATTTATTTTAAGCACAAAAGTCATGTTATAGTTCATGGTAAAAACTCAGAAAACAAGAGAATGCCCAAGAATAAAATAAAAATCACATACATCTCACTACATGAGGTCGCTTCCCCAAAGCAGGAATAATCATCTATGCAATCAATTCTCAGGAAACCAAAGGAACAGGCAGTAAAATTTAATGAAACTATTATTTTTAAATTTTATTTTTATATCCAGTCACCTCACTGGACCTTTACGTATTCTAACAGTTTCTACATTAATATTCTACTCTAACTCACTTTTTTACAATTTCCTCCTTGTTTAGTTGTTCCTTTTCTAACTGCCTGAGTTGAATTCTTAGTCTGTTTCTTTTTTCTTGTTCAATAACAAAAGCCTTCAAGACTACGAATCTGTTTCTGATCACTTCAGATGTATTTTATAAATTTTGAAATGTATTCACCTCATTCAAAGTATTATCTGAGAATACTTCTTTTCATTCTTTTTATTTCTAAGGAATATTTGTTTTTATTTTCTTTCACCTGATTTACTTTGAAGTTTTTTTTAATTTCCTAGTTTGATTTTGTCTTGTTGCCATTTAATGTTTACTGAGTTCATAACTGATTTCACTTACTCATAGGATGCTGAGCATCTGCATTTTATTGAGATTCTGTGGAGCTAACAGAGTGGGGCACTCTTTGTGCCTACAGAGGACAGACGTCGGTGAGCATCCACTAAGTCTGCCTTACCATGTCATTCACACATGAGTAAGCTTACTTTTTGCTTATTTGATCTGTCAAAAACTGAGAAAGGCATGTTATAGTCTACCGCTCTTAAGTTTCTATAATTTTGTATTTCTGGTTTGGTGCTATGTTATATAAGTAAGGTTCATGACAAATAATCATTGTGATTATACTGTTCTTCTATTTTAAAAATAAGCCTCACTATCTCATTCGATGATTTCAGCCCTGAGGTCTGCTGTCTGATAGGAATGTTATGACCACTACTTGCTTCTTCCCAAGTTTACCTGATACAGCTTTGCCCATCCTTTACTTTTGGACAATTCTACTTCTGAGACACTCCTGCGACCTCTCGGTCACTAAACTTAAAGGTAGTTTTAAACTGGGACCCTATGGAAATGCCCGTCACTAATTGCCCAGGGAAGAGAATGTTCTGTAACCAAATTGCACTGTCCCCACGCTGGGAACTATTTCTTCCACGTGGGGCTTCTCAGACTTCACTATGCCCACATGCAAACTGGCTCTTCTGAGGAAACACACACATTTTTGCCTCAAAGCCCACTTTCCCCAGCACATCTATTCATCTCTCCTGGAAAACGCAGGAACAGGTTGGGAGGGGCCTTTGGGCTGTGTGATATAATAAGTTGAAAAAGAAACACAATCTTAACCATAGTTTCCAAAAGAAATCTGAGGATTTCAACTGTTGAAAAGTTTCTTTTTCAATAATGTGTTTATAACGTGGCAGTTTTGAGCTATAGCTTCCACAGAATTTTATATAATGCCAGGAATTAACAGTAGTCAAAACAATGGCTTCACTGAAGCATCTAATTTGTAGGAAGGTCTTACTCCAGGGCTGACCATAGCTCTAATATTAGCATGTATCTTAAATCTATAATAAATAAGTCTTTTTGTACCTTTCTAGAAATGCTTTAATTTTTAGGGTATCTTTCAGATATAGGATTTCATTTAATCTTTACAACCTTATAAGGTAAAAGAAAAAAGTATTATTATTTCCACTTAAGATGTAAGAAAACAGGGTTGGAAAGATTTAGCGATCTGCCCACATTGGTTCTTTGAACCACCCATGGTCATTTACTGGTGGAATAATGGCTTGGAGTCAAGTCCAGCAAAGATCTGTAAAATCTCATAGAAATGTCTTGATGAAGAACCAAATCAATACAATGTCGCCTGTCAAGGATGATACACTTTTCTCTGCTTTATATATTTTTCTTAAAAGTTTAAAAATTGGACCCTTTGAAGAGGATGAGATTGTATTCTGATATTCAATTACTTATTAAATGGCCTCTCTAAAAGGGAAGAAAAAAATTAACTTTGTTTAATTTTATTCAACTAAGAAAAAAAAAATTTAGCCAACCCTAGGAGCACATTTCACCAAACTCTGGTGCAATACTTAACAGACTCTCTTCTCCCAACTACAGTTTACCTAATCTCAGCTGCCACGTCGTAAGGTGTTGTTTTCCAAGCTTCCCCTTCCACTGTTTTCCCATCAGCCACTCGAACTGTGATCACGTTGCTGGTGTCCGCCTTTCTGTCATAAATGGCCAGTAAGAGCTGATGCTCTTTCTTCAGTATTTCAAACAGCTTCAATCTTTCCTTCACAAAATGTGGTTGATTCTTCAGCTGAAAACCATTAGAACACAGTCAGGCTAACACACAGCCCAATTTGCCTAACTGCTCAGCCCTAAATAACCAACAACCCACCTCTACCCCCATGTTCGCAGCACCAGCCTCTGTCACTCTGTTTTCCTCACCTCTGAAGACTCCCTCTGAGTATCCAACACCTTCATAGCCCCCAGGGTCCAGCTCAAAGCCCTCCTCTTCTAACCTTGACACCCAGCGGCATCGCCCTTCTCCACGTGTACACAATTCAGCCTGTGATGACACACCACCTTCCTCTGTTCTCTGATCGCTTCTCTGTTCATCTGAACTCAATCAGATGGATCCCCTTGGGGCCAGGTACTCCTCCTTTGCTCCCACCAAATGCTCTCTGGTGGTTTTAATGATTTATACTGAAAAGGCAGAGAGGCCAGTTTCCATGACCCAAAAGCAGAGCTCAGCTATTTCAACTTCAATACACTAAGGTGCACTTTACAGCTGTGTGGCTGGCTCATCTTGTGTCTAAGGCTTACAAAATTTTACACACACTGCTGCGGTCGAGTTGTAATTTAATTAGTGACTATGTTTTTTCTTTATTTAGTATAGTCAATTTACAATGCTGTGTCAATTTCTGGCGTGCAGCATAATGTCCCAGTCACACATATACATACATATATTTGTTTTCATATTCTTTTTCACTAAAAGTTATTACAAGATATTGAATATAGTTCTCTGCGCTCAATTAGTTAACTACGTTTTAATTACAAGTCCTGGGCAATTAACTACACAGGCATATTTAATTTACGGGTAGTGTTTTGTATTATTTTCATAGCAACGACTTACTTCACTGTAAGGCTCGCTTTCCTTCTCCTTTTTAACGTCCTTTTCTTGGCTTTGACTAGGAGGAGGCTGAGAAATAAAGATAAATAATGACTCATCCCCATGACCACAAAGAGTAACACACCTGAAACCTGAGGAAGGAGAGGGACCAGCCAGCAGGGAGTCAGCACCCTGTGTCTGAGAGAGGCTCAAGGCTGGGGTTCTCCTGATATCACATCCAGCCCTCAGTGGGTGATGCGTCTTCTGGGGTTCAGTCCTTCCTGAATGTGCACTTTCACACATTCTTGCTAAGTACACTTAAAAGTTTTTCCCCTCTTAATTTTAAACAAATAATGTCACTGAAGAACGGTTACACAGCTGAGGGCAGAGACTTCAAATGCACTATTTCATGAAGATATGGCCAGTGCACCACGGTTACTAACCCTGGGGAAGAAGGACCACTGTATGAGCAAGCCTTTAGAACTCAGAAAATGTGTGCTGTTACAGGAAGGTAAAGTGTCCTTAAGGGGACCAAAACACTGAAACACGCTATTAAATAATGTTAAGTACACAAATCTCAAGACAGCCCCAAACATGGCAACAACAACAAAAAACCCCAAACCACCTATCAACAGATCCAGCCACTGATTAGAAAAAAATGGAACGGTTTAGGGAAGTAGCTGTTGGTCTCCCTGCCCAAGAAAAAGAACAGTGAGTTTGAAACACTCCAGCATCTTTCCCAGAGAAAGGAAAATGGTATTTCTGCGAAAGAAGAACATCTGCGGCTGGCAATTTAGCGAAAGAGCTGAGAAATGACACCATCAGGTCAGTCTGGCGACGGCCGGAAGGGCAACGGCCCCAGGTGTGTAGTCGGTCACGGCAAGCGCGCCCGGAAGGGCTAAGGAGGGGCAGGCCTTGCGGGCACCCGCCCCGCACTCCACCCCTGACTCCTGACCACCGCCCCGGGAGGTCAAGCCCCCCGACCGCGGTCCCG